GCAGGGCGTGGGGGGAGGGAGGGTGAGAGAGACGGAAAGCAGATAGAGAAAGTGTGAAAGACAAAGGAGTGTGTGTGTGTGTGGCGGGGGGAGGCAGGAGGAGAGATAAATACAAATAGCAACAACTCCATGAGACAACAGGTGTCTGATAACGATGACATCATCAACAGGATGATGTCACTCATCCACTGGACGCTTATAAAGTTCTAATCAGTGACTGGGGTTCCGTACCGTCCACCTCTGGTTCTCCACCGCTGGTTCTGTTGGCCTCGGTTCTCCGTAGCCACTGCCGTCTCCTGAGGCCTGCGACGCAAAGATGAACATTAGACGAAGAACAAGGACAAGGTATCAAACCTGCAACCTTCTGGTACCGCTGCACCACCCGAGTGCCCTCAAAAATATACAGTTACTTTAAATATTTACAGAACTGTGTGTGTATGTGTGTGTGTGTGTGTGTGTGTGTGTTCCCAGGACTAGTCCAAACACCCTGATGGTTCTGATGTCAACAGACGGTCGGGTTCTGAACCTCAGTCTGTCACCAGGGCCTCAGTGTTTGGTGGTCCCAGCAGAACAGCTGTGACGCCGCAGTTCTACAAAACAACAGTGAGGCTCAGCTGGTGGGGCGCAGACAGGCACCTGTGTTTGTCTGTGGGTGGTCAGGGTCCGTGGCTCCCTCAGACTCTTATCTGATGTGGATTTACTGCTGGCCAACAAACTGGAGTAAACGGTTCAACTCCCTGACCTCAGAGCAAACGTCAGCGTCTGATTCACCCAACGACAGCGGGTTATTAGTTCTAGTTGCTGGTTATTAAAAAAAAGAACCTTGTTTTTGTCAGTAGTTCATGTCAGTGGTTCATGTCAGTGGTGCTAAGACGGGAACATCAGTGTGAGGAAGAACAGTCCAGAACTTCTACCCTTGTTCTAATGAAGCCCACTAACATCACAAGTTAGTGAGCAGTTAGTAACAGGTTAATGATACACAGAGTTGTAAAGTTCTCAGGCTCAGAGGAACCAATAGATTACCTATAACGGTTCTACACCTAATTGCCCTGGGGTATTTGTGAGGTTTCTTGATGACTGTTACAGAAAGACAGGTCACAGAATCAGCTGGTTAGGCTTAAAAAGAATTTGACGGTAATGCTGGAATCAAACCCACAACCCTCCTGGTTGGAGGACCTAGCATGTAGCACGCCAGCATGTGACGCTTTGGGAAAAAATCTGAATTTTTTTTCCCATAATGCAGTACTACAGAATTCAACAGTACCAGGATAAAGAACAACGACATGATGTTGTTTATATTTAAGATTTCTTTGTGTGAAAAGGCGACCCCTGAAGGAAGAAGCTGTAAGTGATTCGTCTTCCTCTTCCTTTAGGATTTTTGCGTCTTCTGGTGAGACATTTCCGTCCTTGACATTTGACCTTGTTTACTGACTTGACACAAGATCAAACAGTTCCATTTCAGGCTGTTTTTTTTGTTCAGGCTGTTTTTTTTTCTGTGGCGTCTTTTTGTTGCCTCGAGGTCGAAGCTCACAAACACAGACGGACCTCAGCTACAGTCAGTACTTTATCTGTTTGTGAGTGAAACCGTGGGAGCGCTGGTGAACACTACAATAACAAAGGTCTGTGTTTACGCTGAAACACAAACACCAGAGCAAACCACTCGATGGCTGAAGGTTAGCTCTGTTAGCTTGAGATGCTAACACAAAGTTAGCAACTCTGACCTGATGTTTACGTTGGACAGGATTACGGAGGAACGTTAGCTCTAATTTATTGGAACAACTGTCGTCTCCTTCACAAATCTTTAACCCAGGGGTCAGACTTGAGGTGCAGAACCCCCTCCCCCTTAACTCCCCCACCTCACCCTCCCCCCTCCCACCCAAGGCTTTCACAAACCAACTGTTTACCTGTGTGTCAGGAAAAAAAAGAGACATATATGGACATGTAGAAAGAATATCATTTTTCATTTGAATCTTTTCCCATATAGATGGGGAGTTATGGGGGAGGTATGGGGTGAGGAGGGGGGAGGTTTGAATGTCAATTTGTCCAACCAGAGTTTTTAATGATTCTCTAAGTCCAGGTTTTAACCTAAATTCCTTGAAGCAACACACCCCCTCCCCTCCCCCGTCTCCCCCCTCACCAGGAAACAGAGATGGGGGTTGGGAGGTCAACGAGGATGTGTTCTGTTCAATTTCTTAACCAGGAAAAAACATACAGAGGGCAGCAGCTTTCTCACCCCCCTCCCCACCTCACCCTCA